AGTGTCCACTAGGTGGGGTGGTGGGTTTGGAACTATCCACACTTCAGTTCCTGCAGCCACTACAAGCAGCGTATGTCACCACAGTCTGAACAGGGGGAGGAGCATTGAGGGTTGGAGGGTTGCAGTGACCCTGGAACGATTCGGCTGCCTTCCCGCAGTCCTGCCCAGGCTGGGATAGGAGACAGAGTTGAGTTGCCATAGCGATGGCACATTCCACATATCTTCTGAGGGGGGAGTTTTCGTTGGAGCCTTGCAGGCTCAAGGGCACCAGATTCTGATTAGGAATTATTTTGGGGCCAGACAGAGATAATTTCCTCTTTGTCTTAAAGTTCCTTGGTCCTCAACCTCTCAAAATCCCAATGATGGACATTAATCTATCCCAATCCATGCTGATTCATCCACTCTATCCTTGATGACTCTATCCTTGATGACATCCATCTTTTGTGCCAATGAATGAATCTCAGCCAAAGTTCCAAGCTTACGATTCATCTCGACAATTATGTGAGTCTGTGAATTCACAGTGTAGTGCTAACCATCTCTGAGCTCCAGGAGCAGGCCAATATTCCTCGACAGCTCGTTAATTTTCCGGTAAGCCAGGAAGCCTCCAAGGCCAATGAGCAGGAAACCCAACACCAACACCACGAATATCCACACATGTTCAGAGTCCTCCACAGACAGCTGAGATAAACAAATCAAGTTCAACTTTTTCCAGGAGTCCATGATGTGTCCACCTGGGTCTGTCCCGGAGGGGCATCCGGGAGCCCCTTCTCCCGTTAACATCGTTGAAAAAATTGTATCAATCGCATTGGGTGACTAACTGACGAGGTCGATTTTAGTGATTTCAGCTTCCAGTTTCCAGAAAAAATGCAGAAGCAGCCGTGCACCCAGCACACAGAGACAGACAAAGGGCCCAGAGGATAAGATATGGAGGAGAGGAGGAAAAAAGCGTCTGCACCCTCAGAGAGTCGGAAGAAGAAGTTTTTTCTAATTAGTAAAAGTGAATGAAAGTATCTGAGGGTTACTCTGATTGCTGCTGATGCAAAGAATGCTGGGACAGCATTGTCTCCATTGGTAAATGTCAAGGTTTTGTTGTGCTTTTGCTCAAACGTAAAAATGGTCTAATTAACCTTACAGACAGAGCAAAGTGACTCCTCTTTTATGCTTGTTTTGTTCCCTTTTGCTTCATTCATTCTGTAGTGTTGTTTTTCTGCTGCAGTAAAGATCATTAAAGGATACTTGAAAGTGAATTTATGTTCCAAGACTTTATGTAGAACAGAAATGCCTCAGGATTGAGTTGTAATAATCAATTCAAATAATTTCTATCTAAATCAATTTGGTGAATTCCTTGCATTATTTTTATTTAAAAATGTATACTACAAAGTCAATTATTAATATACAACCTGTACAAGAGGACATGAAGACAGTTCTAATATCAACAAACATAATCTATGAGTTTATTCTTTCACAAAAAGAAAAACATATATATTTAGTTTTTATAACACAACAAAATCGGCCCATTTAGGGGCTAAAATGGGCCATATCATGGAAAATTCACTTTTATTAGCTTTTTATTATGTGATATTGTTATTTCCTCATGAAACCCCAAACCTGTTTTTGGCAGCATTTATGCATTTTCCTGTATCAGCTGAAAATTTGGAGTTTTACTAGGAAAATTCTGAAAACGCCGGAATAAAAACTACTTGTGTCATTGGATATTTCTTCTCTCCCTTAAGCTGGTGGCCTCCGTTCAGAAACCTGGACATTCTGTGGATAATCTGACAAATTATTTCTGCTTCGGCGACAAAACACCACTGTAAAAACCATGCATCCTATCTACAAGGATGTACATAATGGCCAGTAAAGGACATGTGTGTTGGGCGACTGTTGTTGGTAACAGAACTGGTAGTCCCATAGTTAAGAGTGCCACACTGGCATGTAGTTTTGCGCAGGTTTGCCTCTGTTTTGTCCTTGTTATAAGGTCTCTGAAATATAAACACATTAGTAAATACATTATTGTGGATGGGATACATGAGCGTAATGGTGGCAGAATAACACTGAAAAGCGCTACGCCCTCTGTTGTCCTGGCAGGAAATTGCTTTGCAAAACTCCCCAGTTGAAGGAGTCAATCCATGTGCAGGGCTGATGACAAAGTATAAAGCAGGCATAAGACGCTGTTTTAGGTGCATTTTGTCAGAGTGGGTGTGAGTGGAGTTTCGCTGAAATGAACCATTTAATTTCCGGGGATTGATTCAAGGTGACAAAAATAAATAAATGATAAATGGCATCTCAATAGTGCCAACGGTAATAATTTATCATATTTTTTGTCTGCATTTGCTCTCAAAGATTTAAAATAGCATGATCTGGCTCCATTAAAATAACAATTCTTTAACATTTTGTTTCTTTTTCTGAAATCAAGTTAAAATTCTGCAGGAGACCTAACTACTAATTAGGATTGTCATTGTAATGAGGTCCTTGTGAACTCCCCATCATGTTTTATTCTAATTTTATATTATTCATCCATATAAAAAATAATAAAAATATAGACTTTAAAAGAGTTTTTTGATGGTTCCACAGTACTTTGACGTCTACTCTGTAAATCATTTTAATATCCACAGCCGCCTAATTACCTCTGTATTACTATTAGCTATCTTATTTGAATATAATATATTGTCATTGGTGTAATCCTGTCATTTTATAATCTGATGGGTAAAAACAATGTATTTGTATTAACATGGGTGTAAATAAAATACCACTTTGTCATCACGTTGGCCAACACCCTCTACTTTTGACTCTGATAGGGGGTGACTTGCTCTTTAAGTCCAAAATACATTTTCTATGTATTTAAAGATTAAATTACAAAACATCATGAGACTCAATTCAACAAAAATGTTTGATTACTCCTTCTTCACTTGTTAAAGAAAGCATAAGGAGCAACAAGAGGAGTTAACAGTGTTGGGAAAGTTCAGATCATGCATTTTTTAAAATGCACTAGTTCAGCTCATAGTGCACAGTTCCCCAAATGAACTAGTTCATAATTCTGTGTTTTTCAATATGTTGCAGGGAGTTAATAGCCTCAGAATAATGGCATTTTCCAATTCTGGACACCCATTCGGCCTACACATTTACACAACTGTTGGTTTTACCCAGAATAAAACTCTCAAACTCTTACATGAGGAAAAACTTGCTTTCAGTGGCTTTTTAAATGAGAAATGATCAAACAAACTGAGGGAGGAACAAGGCTGAGTTAGTAAGCTAATGAAGTACCTCAAAGTGCAATACTTAAAATCCAAAGCATTTAAACATTAGTTATCTTTTAATTAAGTCACTTTCCAATTAATGTGAATGAATTTTCTGAATAGTTTGCCTTGGTCTGTTGTTGTGTCCTTGGGTGTTCAGAGGAAACCGGTGGCACATAGTGTGTATAACAGCAACAACCTCTGTCAGTCAGCCCCAGGGCTGATGTTGTGGCTACAGTGTAGCTCATCACCACCAGGTGTTATGGGTAAATGACTATGAAGCTCTTTGGGAAGTTTTGGACTTTAGAAGGTGCTACATTAATACAGGGCATTTATTTTGAGCAATTAATTAAGTTAAAGTCCCACTAGTTGTCACACACACTGGTATGTGTGCATGTGAAATCTGTTTTCCGCATTTGACTCATCCCCTGGGGAAGTGGTGAGCTGCAGACATGGCGACACTCGGGAACCATTTGGTGGTTTAACCCTCCCAATCCAACCCAACAAGACTTTGGTATGAACCGACCAGTATTTGAACTCCGATCTCCCGGTCCCAGGGCAGACACACTATCACTTTGCCACAGAGCTGGTCATAAACGTATTTTTCTATATCACTAGGTTTGTTTTTGTTCAAGTCGAAATAATCTTAAACAGTTGAATATTTGATCAATGCTAAAACATGTCATTGTCTGTATGAGTCAGGTTTGTTCTAGTATATCAAAAAGAATGCTGGGATGCTAAAAGGAAACGCCAAACCACACGAGGCCTTTCCCCTAATACGTGTTGTTTCAGCGAAAGAATGAATTTGGCTTAATTTACATATTTATTTGCCAGGGTTGAAAAGGTGGCATGAAAAGAAACAGACAACAAAGATCAGACTGTAAATCAGCAATCAACTGACAAAAAGAGAGAAGAAAGGGTGAGGTAAATAGAAACTTGGCTGAATGTAAGGCCCAATTACAACTCATCGTCTGGATATTAATGGGACAGGGATGACAAAGCAAACTCCAGAGAAGTGCAGAGCAAGACGGGAGTGAACCTTCAGAGAGGAATATTTATGTTATATCTTTATGCTAATAACATTTGGCAAGCAATCACATTGGAATTCAGAGCGACTAGCCTAGCCATAATTGAAAATGACACAGAATGCCTGGCTACAGGACAGTTTGATTAAATGAAGAATGTCATACTCCAGGCTTGACTCATCAAACTTGAACTTTTGTTGTTGGCAGGGCTAAACGACGTATACGAATAGCTCGAGTCGGACGCAGATGCAAGTCAAGTTGTTGCAGTTATTGGATACTTTTTAATGCTATATGAAATCAGTGCTAACAACATGTGCCATTATTGTTTATCCTTCACGCTATGGCGTGATGTCTGCCTCAGGAATAAAACCTGTATAGGATGCACCTAAGTGCTTTGTTCATTGCAGCTCTAAAATCTGAAGACTACAGCAAAGTCCAAAGAGGTCTAATTCATGACAGTCAGACATGAATAGAGTGATGGACAGTTGTGGAAGTGGGAGGTTCATTAAATCTCCTGGTTTAAGCCCAACACATTGTGAATATGTAAATATCTGAGGCAAAGAGATAGAGAGAGAAAAAAACAAGAGTCAGAAAAAAAAGCAAGGATGCGAGAGAGGGAGGAGGGAGTGGAGGGAGGGGAGGCAGCATGAACAAGTGAGTGAGCGATCAAGAGAGAGAGAGAGAGCACTCTGAATTGTGAGTGGCTGACGACATTCAGTGAACAGAAGGTGCTTCTACATGCGCTGTCAGTGTACTGGTCTGCTGCAAGGGATTGCTCGCTCCTTTGCTTCCCCACATTTACTGCCCCTGCTTGACTACCAGCACTAGCCTTCAGCAGCCTCTTCCAGCTGGCTGAGAAAACGCTCCGAGAGCGAGGGAGTCAACAAAACCTGCGAACCACAGGGGGATTCAAGCCACCTCTTAAGCGATACGAACCGCCGGGATGACAAGGAATACTGTTACACGAGCAAACAGTTAACAGGATTCACCTCTATGTATCCTTTTTTTCTTCTTCTTCTTTCTTTGCTTTCGTCACAGAAAGCACGATTAACAGCTTGAATGGATTTAAAGCTTAAAAGTCAGTGATTTCTTCCTGAGACGGACGATTAAACATTTAGACAGATTTGCTGAAACTCAAGCAGAAAGGGAGAAGAGGAGAGCCACAAAGATATTTAAAATTGTCTGGGTTTTTATTTTTTTTTTTTTTGTTTTGTTTTTTCTTTTTTGATCATCTCTTCTCTCTGATCCTTGCAGCAGAGGACTGCAGAGAAGCAAAAGAGACAGAGCTCATGTATGCAGACAGGAGAACTTGCACTTCCTACCATCTCGCTGAAAGCTACTTGGATTCCTCCTCTTTCTGGCTCTTTCACTTGAAGAGAACTAAGACATTGTAAGCCTGCCAAGGATCTGGTGTCCACTGAAAAGAGAAAAAAGGCAGGGGGGGTGGAGAATGTCTACCACAGTGGGGTCTTTTTCAGATTCGTACATAATTAGTGTTGGGGCACAAAGCAAGATGCTGAATGGAGATTGTCAGCTTTGGATAGGGGTGAGTAAGAATCTTTTTGAATAAGACCGATTGGCGAAGACAGTTTCATTTTTCATCTCCTCCACTCTCCACCCACTGGCTAATATCTCTCACGAGCAAAAGGATTTGTTCTTTTTTCGACGCAATTTCAACAAAGATTTCTTCACTGGATTGAACAACAGAAATATAATCTCACCATCTGCAGCTAAGATAGAGGGACAGAATGAAATATTATTTAATCAAGTAATATGTTGTGACAAATATGATCTGAGCAGTACAGATACAATATCCAGAGTGGTTCAATGGACATTTTCTCCCCGACATTCCTGGATATTTATGCTAATGGATTTCCTCCTAATTGGACTGTACTTAAAGTGGCCACTGAAGAAGCCCCCTGGGTTGATACTTTGTTCACTGGGCATTTTTCTAAGAACTATTCCTTTGGCAGAGACTGTTTGTCCAAGGCTGTGCCGCTGCGACAGCAAGCTGCTGTACTGCGAGGGGCTCAACCTCACAGACATCCCCCGCAATTTGAGCAGCGCCATGGGCCTGTCCATGAGAGAGAACAACTTGACTGAGTTACGTGAAGGCCAACTAGCTGGTCTGTCACAGCTAACCTGGCTCTACCTGGACCATAACAGCATTGACATTGTAGAGGAGGGTGCCTTCGAAAGGCTGAGACGGGTCAAGGAGTTAGACCTGAGCAGCAACCGGATTGAGTTTTTGCCAAATGGGACATTCAGACCCCTCCCAAACCTGCGTATTCTGGATCTCTCATATAACAGGCTGCAGGCACTAGAGCCTGACCTGTTCCATGGCCTTAGGAAGCTCACCAATTTGCATTTGCGCTACAATGTTCTCAAATTTGTGCCAGTGCGTATTTTTCAAGACTGCAGGAGCATGCAGTTCCTGGACTTGGGATACAACCAACTGCAGAGCCTGGCACGTAATTCCTTCGCTGGCCTCTTCAAGCTGGCTGAACTGCACCTTGAGCACAATGAACTGGTCAAAGTCAACCTAGCCCACTTTCCTCGCCTCATCTCCTTACGTACCCTGTACATGCACAACAATCGTGCCACAATTGTTGTCAACACCCTGGAGTGGACCTGGCATTTTTTAGAGAAGATTGACTTGTCAGCCAACGTAATTGAGTACATCGAGCCACACGTGTTTGAGAGTGCTCCCAACTTGAAGGTACTGATGCTCGACTCCAATCGTTTGGCCTCTCTGGACCAACGCATCCTGGATTCATGGTCATCTCTGGACAGCATTACCCTGGCAGGAAATGATTGGGAGTGTAGTCGCAATGTTTGTGCCTTGGCCTCTTGGCTGAGTGCCTTCCGAGGCCAGCGTGATAGCTCCCTGCTGTGTTCGAGCCCTGACACCGCACAGGGCGAGGATGTGCTGGATGCTGTCTATGCTTTTCAACTGTGTGAGGATTCCCCATTAGAGGTGACCACAGCAGGCCTGTATGCCTCTACAAGAGATCTGGCCAAGGGTGGCTCTGTGTTTCTGGGCCCTTTCACTCCAAATCCTTATGAGGGTGAGGGTAGTGAGGTGGTCACAAGTTCTTTCACAGTCACAGTGGGCCATGATGATCTGGAGAGCACCATGCAAATTCACAAAGTAGTGACTGGCACCATGGCACTCATTTTCTCTTTTCTCATTGTAGTGCTTATGCTGTATGTGGCATGGAAGTGCTTTCCAGCTGGAATAAGGCAACTGAGACAGTGCTTCAGCAGTCAGCGCCGTAAGCAAAAGCAAAAGCAAAGCATGCAGCAGATGGCTGCTATTTCCACGCCGGAGTACTATGTTGACTATAAACCTAACCACATTGAAGGAGCTTTAGTAATCATCAATGAATATGGCTCGTGCACATGCCAACAGCAACCTTCTCGAGAATGTGAGGTGTGACTGCAATGAAGTCCTTACCTGTGATTATGTGGATATACAGCAAATATTTTTGGGATCCTCTTAGGAGGGGGATATTGTAGAGCAAAGGGAACAACTGGATATTTGGACACTTTTTACAGCATTTCACTGTGATGTGGAGAGAGGGTGATTTACATGACTGACTATTTTGTGATGGATTTATTGCTACTGTTGTCTACTCCTGATCTGAAACCAGAGGGGCATAATGGGCACCTGGCAATTGGACCTATTGGTGCACAGAAGAAAAACAACCTAACTAAAAAGACAGAACAACAAAAAAACAGCGGAATATGAGGTGGGCACTGGAGCTTTTCTCTCATGGAAGGATATTTGAGCTTTAATGTGTCTTTCTACTTCAGAACAATTTAATATTGTTTAAAATAAATTGCGGACACACGAGAAAAAAAAACAAAAGAAAATGAACAACCATTTGTATTATGGTACATATGACATTTGAAAAGTATTAAATATTAAAAAAATAATGTTTAAGTTTAAATAAATTGTTAAAAGTGTAAAATATGCTAAAATATGATGTGCAGGTGTGGATAAAAATAAAAAAGATTATCTATTTCTTTTGTAAACTACAAAATGATGTTTAAATAAACTACTATTCACAGTAAACTCATTTGTATGTGAAAAACCCATTACAGAGGATGAATGACAATAGATGCAGTATTTGTGCTCGTGGTCCAGAGCCATGACTCTGCAGTGCATCAAACCAAAACGTAAAGTAAGAAAATGAGCATTTAAAATTAGTAAATAAAAAGAAAAGGGGATATCTAGTTAGATCTGAGGTCTGAATTTTAAATGGATGTTTTAATCATCTTTGTTGATTCATCACTTCTTATGTTGAGTCACTATCAGTGTTTTTTTTTTGCCATTTCCTCTCCATGAACAGATTTCAAATGATCTATTTATTTTAATCAGTTTTCATTTTATTTTCTCGCTATCTGTGGTCCATTGAAGTAAACAAAACAGAGGATCAAAGAAAAGCTGCCTCATTTGGCTGAATAAATCACATGAAGCAGACAACCATCTAAAACCATGCATCACAATGTAATTCAAGTAGTATCTGAAGATATGAAGAGATTATCCACCAGCTTCAAGCGATATTTGCACAATAAGTATTCACCACTGTGACCATGTGATGTAAAATGTTTGTTGAATACAAGGCCATCTACGTGTGTGTAGACCTCTTCCTCTGGGGTTTGTTGTGGTTAGTGGACTGACAGATGTGGCGTTTCCTGGGTCTTTTGACATGAACACTGTGTCCTGTGTGTGTGTGTGTGTGTGTGTGTGTGTGTGTGTGTGTGTGTGTGTGTGTGTGTGTGTGTGTGTGTGTGTGTGTGTGTGTGTGTGTGTGTGTGTAGAGGGGGCTGATTACAATGTGTACAGAAAGAAGGAACAGACTGCTCTCTAGCGTGCATATTCTTGCACAGTGGCCGGGTTTATCGTTTGCCTCACCGTGTTCTTCAGACTCCCAAAGCTGGGGCACTTTCTAAAAAAGCCAAAATTGTTTTCTTTGAGATTATTCATGTTTACAACTTATAAACCAGCAGGAATAAAAACAAGAAGTGTTTTAAAAACTCACTGACAATCATTAACTATTAGGTTATCTAAATACCCACGGTTATTTTTTTAACAGCAAGCAGTGTGTGGTCCATGAAAGATCTGGTGAAATGTAAACAACAAATCAAAGATCAATCTGAGCAGCTAAACATTTAGAGGACATTGGGCAATTCAGAATCCAAGATAAGACAAAAAAAAACCATAATTTCAGTAAATACTGAGCCTTAACCGAAACAGAACCTGCTCACTGGATTGGACAAGAAATGCTTTTAAGTCAAATTTCAGCAGAAGAGTCATCACAGAAATTTGCCACCAAACCTCACCTAACCTTCAAATCCCAAAATGGTGGGATGAACTGAGAGCAAGCCAAATCTACAAGCTAAATAATGCTTTCTCCTCTCACAGCTCACAGGATTTCTCTCAGGTGAAATCCAATAAAAATACAAATCGCCCTCATTAACGTGACAGATAAAATGGAAATTTAGCATTTGGCTTTTCACTGAAATTAAATCCTGGAGTTCCTGCTCACGATTGTCGTCTGGGGCTTACCGGGACACGCATCTGCTTCCACGTGTTCAGGAGGAAGGGCTTGTTATCAGAAACAGACCTCAGCGAAGCAATGCTGCTTTAATCGCTACCATCCAACTAGAAACTGTGATTAAAAAAGGTGCAGGTATTACGTTTGCTCGTCAAACATGAAATGTATTTCCCAGGAAGTTCTTAGTGTTGTTTGGCCTTTGCAAAGTTGATTAACTCCTTTAAAGATTTTTTCATCATTACAACGCAGTGCTGAAGTAGCAAAAATTCTACAGTCGGGGTTATTTGTTTTATAAGGGGCAATGATGACTCAATGTTGCCATGGAGGATTTATGACCCGTTTCTCTGGTTTTATGGTAGCAAAGGTTCCCTCTTTCAACACTCAACATGGCCGTTAATCATGACCCGTCATATCATGTGCATGCAAATGACTGCTGTAGTCATCATGATGGGGACAGTGATTTATCCCATCCTCTTCGTCTTCCCATCCTGTCAAGAGTTTCAACCCTCACACCCTTTGAGTTCTTCACAGCCACTTCAACATGCAACTGTGGGCTAAATTTGAGGTTGCGAGGACTCATTTGTATAAATATTGGATGATGCCTGGCACAGGAGCCAATACTGGCACCGCTATTGATTTCATTTCATTCGTTTTCTTAAACAAGCAACCAAGGCGAAAGGTGATTGAGATAGCCTCTGAATATTTCAAGAGCTTTGAGTCTTGAGGGCTGACATTAAACTACTTTAGACTTCTCGCGATCCCTACACACCTTTACCTTCACTTTATCTTATTTGTTCCCTCTTTGGATTTTTTTTTAAGAAAGGAAGAAATGGAGAGGGGAAAAAACACCAATTCATCTAACTGACAACAGATCAAATCTGTGCTTGACAGAAGTCTGAGGTGATGATTCCCTGAAGGGAGATGTGTGCTCTCTGACAGCATCCATTATAAATGCCCTGATTGATGATGCTCAGTAAAAATCAATACAGATGAGTGGTAACTAAAAGTATTATAGTGACAAAAATGTAATTAATCTTCCCGAACCATGAACCGTGAAGTTAGCCATTGATGGTTTTTGAAATATGTAAACGTTTCCCATGCTAGACAATCAGATCACCATTTAGCAATTTCTTTCAAATTTAGTAGGATGTTGCTGTTCTGCTTACAAGTCATCAGAGGAGAGAAAAACAAAGAAGAGACAGCTGGAGGAATTTCTTGACCTTTATGGTAAATGGTAAATAGTGAATGGCCTGTATTTGATATAGCACCTTCTAGAGTCCTGGGAACCCTAACCCTAAAGGTTGGTTTATGCTTGACGCGTCCGCGAGGTCCGCACGGCTCAGCGCGGAAAAGTTGCGTCATCTTGCGTCATTTTAACAACCACACCTCCGCACGGCCCAAAATTTCCGCAACGCGCACCTAGGTAATTTTCTAACCACACGGACGGTCGGACGCGGAAAAACATGGCGGACCGGCAAGAACTAGTATGGCAGAGGTTGGTAAATACAGACATTTGTATGATTCAGCTCTCAAAGATCGCCGTGGTCAACATGTTGTTAATAATTCTTGGAGAGAAATAGCTCGCACTGTCGGAAAAGACGAGGACGCTGTTAAAAAATGCTGGAATGCCATGTTGTAAACAACAATAATTTTTACTTCTACTATGGTGTAGTGTTGGATGCATGCTGTAGAGCTCCATGCTGCCCCCTACAGTTTGGGAGAATATTGGCTCACCGCAGAGACGAGCCGCATGAACCATAAACGCTGCGAGTTGTGAAGCGCGTTCCATCCGCGAGCCGCATCACCAAGCGGAAAGTGAATGCGTCAAGCATAAACCAAGCTTAACCCTACACCCCCCGCCTGCCCTGGGGCGCACGACAGATGCCAGGCTGCCAAGCGCTGGCACCACCTGTCCCTCCGACCACCACCAGCAGGCAAGGTGGGTTAAGTGTCTTGCCCAAGGACACAACGACAGCCACAGACTAAGCGGCGCTCGAACCTTTATGTAAAGCAAACACAATTTTTTTAGGATTTAGGAGTGTTCAAAGTTACATTTGGAAATCAAACAAAGCATAGGATTTAGGGCAATCAGGGCAAAACAAATAATATGATTAAAAGACAAAAATAAAACATATTACAATATTTTGAGGTGGTTTTCAAATAAATAATAAAAAAAAATTTATGCAAATCCATACAAACTGGAAAGGTAAGTGGTTGAGCAGCAACGAGGAGAACCACCAAGAAGCCAAATGATCATTGTCAGGTTTAAAGGTCAAGGGGAGACGACAGTAAAGCTGCTATAGAGTTATTAAAAATATATAAATGCAGCAGAAGAACATATAGGACACAAACTGTTTAATGTCTGCGTTAGGTCACCGTGTGTGTGTGTGTGTGTGTGTGTGTGTGTGTGTGTGTGTGTGTGTGTGTGTGTGTGTGTGTGTGCATGAGAGAGAGTAGTGAGAGAGGCAAAATCATCACTCTGCAAATCTTTAGGCAACAACGTGCATTTCAACCTACAGCATGAGAGCCCTTAGAGGCGCAAGCAGATCCTTAAAAACTAAATTAACCCAGCTTCCTGTGAGAGGTATCGATCAGGCAGCATTCTGCCTCCTCATTGCGACTGGGACTGTGCAGCATAATAAACACTTAACACCCCCTCATAACTGGATGGAGAGCTAAATCACGGGTGGCAGCGTGTACTGCAGTGGGCTGTAAGGAGCTGATGATGACTAACGACAGAGCGGGGGCGGCTTTCCTCGGCTTCTTTATGCTCTTCAGGTGGGGTTAGAAGAATCAATAACCTAATCAGTATCAACGTTATCTGGAAAATCCAAGTCCTTTCACACACCCTATTCCCTCTCATTGGACAAATGCCTTTCCTCTAAATCCTGGGCTCAGTGATGTCACGTCACTGCAAAAAAGTCACAGCTAGCCGATGGAAAAAAAAAAAAAAAAAAAAAAAAACGCTAAAAACTGCTTTATGTAACCTGGGGATTAATTAAAAGGAGGGACCAACAGGAATACTTAGATTTACTTCCAGACACTGGGATTGTGGAACAAGCCATCAAAATAACTTTACTAAAAACAACAAAGGTGCAGTGGGATTCTGTAATTATATTCGTCAGTTAGGCTAAACCCTCCAGGCTGTCTATAGGTGTCTCTTCCCACTGCTTCATTTGCATGCACCATACTGAAGCAATGCTGAATTAATAACAATGACTCAGGAGTCATTATTCTGTCACACACACACACACACACACACACACACACACACACACACACTAGAGCACCCTTCACTACTAAATCTGAAAC